GGACGGAGGGCAAGGGCGAGGGGCTGGGGAAGGTCACCACGTGTGGGGCACTGATGAATGGACTGCAGCTGAGAGAGGCTTTGGAGGGGAGTGGCTCTGCCAAAGGAGTCCAAGCCTGGCTGGCAGGGCCGGGAGGGATCAGAGGGGACGCAGGGGTTTGTGCGCAGAGGCCGTACTGCCACAGCGCAACCAGGGAGTGCTCCCTCAAAACACACCCAAGAGGCAGGAAGACAGCACAGCAATGCTCTCCTTGAAGACAAAAATGCCAGGAGATAGGTCTATGAGGTCAAGAGCTGGAGGAGCTCCACCAGCCCCAACTGCACACCACATACGCACCACACACACACCACACATACATACCCCAGCACACCTGCCCACACACACAATCCCAACATACCCCACACATGTACCTACTGCACCCACACACACCATACATACATATGCACACACCACATATACACACACATTCACACACACACCACACTGGCAAATCGATTAAAAAATCATGAATAGAGGCTGAGTTGTGCCATAAGTTTCCATGAACTGCACCCAAAATGTCTTAGATTTATTGGACATCCTTACTTCTGAGCAGCAGATGTCCCTTTTCTCTTTGTGTGTTTTCTTGTTTCTTTGTTTTAATTTGTATTCTTGATGGTGTGACACCAGCAATGCGTGTCCTGTATCCCACCCGGGAACACTGGGGCAAGAGGTCCCTACCTTGTAACAATACCTGGCTCTTTGTGTAAAGAATGTAATTATTAGCTCCTAAATAAATTACCTTTGTATATTTTTTAAAGATTTTATTTACTTATTTGAGAGAGAGCACGAGCAGAGGGGTGAGGGGCAGAGAGAGAAGTAGGCTCCCCACTGAGCAGGGAGCCCGCTGGGGGACTTGATCCCAGGACCCTGGGATCATGACCTGAGCCGAAGGCAGACTCTTAACTGACTGAGCCACACAGCCGTCCCACCTTTGTATGTTTTATGACACAGATGTGGATCAAGTCTTTCCAAGTCTATGTTCTACTCAGTTAGAAAAAACAAATTCCTGTCTAATACAGGACCCTGGCTTATACTGTTTATATCTTGTAGTCCCAATATTGCCATCTTTAAATATTTCTATGTTAACAAACACACCTACTTCATTTTATTCACTATGTAAATTCATTCAAATAACATGTAAATTGTGTGATAATTGTGTGCCAAAAGTCCTATTTTCATACAGATAAGAACTGATGCAATTTTTCTCAAATAATGGTTTATGCAGATTTTACATGAAGTCCCAACAGCTTTGAATATTACTGTTAACCCCTTGACTATTTTAATGAAAACTAAAGTAAACCTGTCTGAAATCCATCTAAAAGGGTACCAAGAGGTCCACCTGATCTCTCAAAGTGATCTATTATTTTCAGATGTCGTCAGCTATGTCCTGATGTCACAGCTCTCCTTGTCAGCTGTATGAAACAAGACACTGACAACTTATTTTAAGAACATTGTTTAATTCCTTTCAAAACACCAAGTCTTTAAGATCAGAATCAGAAATTCTGACATAAAATGGTAAAAACAAGACTCACTCCTTGCAAGCACTTTGCTGCCTAGGAGTATTTTACAGAAGAGCAGCGAAAATCACTTCCTATACTTCCAAGTGTTCCCCAAGGCTTTGGAAGCAGAGGTCAACTGAGCTGTTTTATACAGGCCTTTGTGAAGCTGGAGGGGGTTCTAGTTTTATTATTTTCTTCTTTTTTTAAATGTAAAAATATTTGCCTAAAACTCCTCTGGACTAGAAACTGCAAAAAGCATTCTGTAGAATGATGACTCCTTGGTAAAGGTACATATTTATGACAAGAGAAAAAAAAATACTTTCATTTTAGAATATGCAAGTCTAACTCACATGCTTCAGGAAACTCAAGATAGAGATGATTGTAACAACCCATCTAGGACTCTGGGAGAATGCAGCATTTTAAAATTCTAATCTCCTGCTTACCATCTCATTGACAAATAAGAAGGAAAATGTACAATGACAACTTTGGGTGTGTTAGGGCAAATTCCTAGTAGCTGTAGTTAGGGGTGTGTGTGTGTGTGTGTGTGTGTGTGTGTGTGTATTCTCAACAGATACCACCAAAGACACATACTGAAGAATGATATTTTTCATCTTATAGAACTATGTAAAATTAAGACTACAGTAATTGAAATACATGAAAACAAACCCCAGAGAATATGAATGATTTATCATAACAGTTCTTGCCCGATTAGTTCCAAGAGAATTTAAGCAAATTCTTAAGTTATACTCAAAGTTACATTAGTACATTGACTAACTTAGTAAATGATATTCAGAATGTGATAACCTATAGAGAAGTGAAAACAAGAATTCGTGGTTTAAAAAAAAATCAGTGTATTAACTAAAAGTGGATAGAGTCAGTCAATGAGTAACTCTAGCACCTCAAAGCTAAACTTGATAAAGACAAGACCGGTCACTGAAAATGATTAAAGCAAGAGAGAGAGATGCCCCGTGCATACCGGAGCTAACCTTATATTGCCCATGATCTCCACCCTCCATAACTGCTTTACAATCAACACTAACCCCACCAAGAGCTTGTCCTCATTCCATGAATATAAAATAGTATTAAATACAATAAAAGCTCTTTTCATAGGTAAGTCAGAATTTATTTGTGTGATAGTTTAATGCCTTATAAGTTCTAAGTGCAGTTCAAGAACCATCCAGTTGTCTAATTTTTTTGTCTTTTCCATTCTAGAGAGAAGCTCATCACGGGTAGTCATTGTTTGTTTGTTTGTTTTCTGAGATAATGGAATCATTAAGTTTTTGAAGACTTTTATTTACAGGAGCTCTGCTCTATCACAACAAGGTCTAAGGCGGGAGGAGAGCCAAGACCTAGTCACGAAGGCGTTGCCCCAAGTAGCCCTCTGAATTGTGACGTCTGGAGCAAGAAAGCCTTGTGCCTTCTAGTTCTCTAAGAATGTTCTCTAAAAATGTCTCACTATCACAAATGTGCAGTATTTCATTTTTCTCGTAAGCTTCACAGAATGCCTTTCTTTAAACTCTACTTCCACATTCAGAAGTTCTGAGGCTCACCTTTAAAAGCTACTTGGTGGATGGAGGAAATCATGTTGACAGTCTCTAATTAGACACTACAAATAAGAACAACAATTAGATCTGTCTGTGCCATACTGAATGAGAAAAGTTCCAGGAAGCTGCTGGAACAAAGTGGGGCACACCCACCCATTGTGGCTCTGTTCACAATGTTTTCTGAATCCAAGCAGGGAGAGGCAAGTGAGCCACACGTAGGACAGTGTGGGAGGCAAGCCTGCTGTAATGAAGTGGAAGAGACCCTGACTGAGCTAGCTGGCAACCTTAAGGAGCTGTCCAGGGTGATATTTGTTACTTCAGCCCCAGTGCCTCATGGGGGTGAACTCCAGACCAACCACAACGTTAGTGTCTTGCTAACTTTCAGGGTAATGACCCAAGTCTTGATGGAAGAGCTCACTTTTCATCTAGAAATACCTGCCACTCAAAAATCTACTGTGAGAAGGCAGAACAGGATAAACACTCTCAGGGCTATCTTACAGAACTTTCTGTGCCATCCAGTATGGTGGCCACTGGGCACACATGGCTACGTGTGACTGAGGAACTGAAGATTTAATTTTGTTTAATTTTGATTAATTTTAATTTAAACAGACATATATGACTAGTGACTAATCATATTGGGGTTTGCAGCTCTATATTTAGAACAAAAAGAAACACACAAGAAAAGCCTGAGGAAGATTCTTCATAGCCATATACTCCTGGGGATGTCTGAAAAGTGGCTCTATCTATTCCAACAGGGTCCTCACTTAATATAGAGCCCCCTCCCAAATGGTGTGATCACCCGCCTTTCCTCCCACTTTATGTCCTTTACTCTCTTTTCCTTCTTCCCCCACACAATACCACAATGTCTCCAGCGAGTCTGGCCCCACTCTCCTAGTCCATGAGTCCTTGCCCAAGTACCCAAGATGTCTGCATATCTTTATTTCTTTTTTATGGATTCTATATGATATCCTTTTCTTTTAAGTGTTAATGTTATATTTACACACATAACATATTCATTTATGCTATTTGGGAGTGTTTACCATTATTTCTTACAGTAACATTTGCTTTGGTTAATTTAGAACAGTTTTCAGCATGGATTTCCAGGATTGCAACCACCTGGTAAAGCAAGGACTTCCATTTGGATCTCTTTTGTTCAAACAAATATTTTCTTGCTTCACACTTTACATAACTTATTCTTTTATCTTTATACTTATCTTTGATATTTGTTTTATGTATTTGTGTATTTGAGTAATTTTTTTAGTTTACATATTCTGTAACTAGAGTACCAATATGAATAATTCATCGATACGTTACTTTACCAATTGATGGGAACAGAAAAAGCAGTAGGGACTTATACAGATTTATTTGTACTTACTTTTTCTTAAAGCACTATACTATTCTGAAATATTGAAAACATGGGTATATGCTTCAATATAACGTCACACTTATTACTTTCTATTCTACCACAGAATTATCTCATCTCCAAATGACTGAGACAGAGAAAAAGAAGTAAGGGCAAAGTGAACGCAACAGGGGGGAAAAGGCAAGAGGTTCTGGAATTTCTCTAGAAGACAGCAGGACTTAGCACTTGTGTGGAGAAAATTCAGGCCTGGGGTGGGACACAGAGTGGTGAGCGTGTCCCATGTATTGGGCACTTGTTAAGGAAAGCGTCAGACAGCAGAGGCTCTGGGAAATGATGCAGGTCTGGGCAAGGCCTCAAGGGTCCAAGAAGGCTCCAGGAAGGGCAGAGGTGGGCAGGCAGCAGGAAATGTCAAGGAGGGGCCTTAGGAACACAGAGAAGGGAGTATGACAGGAAGGCATTTGGCTCCAAAGAGTCATTTATGATGCTACTATAGCTGCTAATCTGCACACTGTTCCCATTTGTCCCTAAAATAATTTAAACAAGAAAAAATTTTACCTGTGATGTCCTGAATACCGTGGACCACGGATATGGCCTATTCCTCGGCACCCTGGAGTAGGACAAACAGCTTGACCTGGAAGGATTTTCACATCATTTGCTCCTTCAGGAAGTAAAAGAACATATCTTGAAAACACCCTCAGTAAAGAAGAACTAGAAAGACTACAATATGTAAATGATACTCATTAAGACTTTGCAAATTAAAAACAAACCATCACCAAAACACTTACTGGATACTTGTGATGTTTTAGAACATGATTTAGCAGAAAACATCAGTGCTGTAATAGATAAAATTAACACAACTGATACCTGAGGCAGAGCAAAGTATGTAGGCATTGAAACGTTTTAAAAATATGAGAACATTCCCTCATTTCTTTCAGAGAATAATACTGGCACAGGCAATACAACCATGAGCTAAGAATGTGAAAGGGTGAGGTCTGGTTTGTGGTTCCCCTTGAAGCTCCCACTCAACTGCAGCAAGGCTCCCCCAAATGCGGGACAGAAATTCAGTTAATAGGAGCACCTGGGTGGCTCAGTCAGTTAAAGGTCTGCCTTCGGCTCAGGTCATGATCCCAGGGTCCTGGGATGGAGCCCCGAGTTAGACTTCCTGCTTAGCGGGGAGCCTGCTTCTCCCTCTCGCTCTGCCCCTTCCACCACTGGGCTCTCTCTCTCTCTCAAATAAATAAATCAAATCTTAAAAAAGAAGAAATTCAGCTACTAAATGAGGCATGCCAAAGATGGTGAACATAGCCCTACCATGCTTACTCAAGTAGTTTTCAAAGCTAGCTGAAAAAAGAACTGCCTGATCCATACTACACTATACTAATACTATGTACCGTAACACTTACGCTGTATTAATACTATTATTAATGCTATATGTACTTAATACTAATACTAATATTGACACTAATATGTACTATATATAACCACTCCAGGCCAGAGACAAATTCTGTCAAGCCCAAGAGCAATCTATCTCTAAAGGTTTTCAGGAGTTAAACCATCTTTCTCTGTTCTGTGATTTTCCTCAGTCTGCTCTCCCTCCAGAGAAAACCCTTTAGATCTTGTCATCACCCAAAATGACACTGCTTCCAAAAGCACTAAACAAACAAGCCAGCTGACTACAAAATCACATCCTTCCAGATTGCTTGCTGAGGTAGCCCAGCTGCTGCTGATGTTTCAATATCGTGGGAGTTTCCAGGCCACAAATTTTCTTATTTCCCATCCTCCTTCTCCTCCCATCATAACTCCCTTCCCTTGTCTTCGATTCTGCCAACCAGTAGTTCCCCTCTGTTGCCAATAACTTAAGCCCCCTTGCCTCGCTGACCTTCTATGACAGGTGGCTGTGGAAAGAAAATGAAGAGCCAGCCATGGGTCAGTGGCACCACCCTGCTGGTCTGTGTTTTGCAGGACTAAGTTCTTCTGGAAAAAATTACACAATAGTGCAGATTCATTGTTACCAAAACTACCATCTTCAGTGTCAACTGAGCCCCTCCCCACTCCCAGGCTTCCACTAGCCTCCACCCTCTGGCTCTCACAACTGTGCCTGCCTACACTTCACTGGGAGAACTGGAGCCTGTCTTTGGGGGACAGCATCCCCTCCTCCCTTTCCATCCCAGTGAGGGAGCACTCGCTCCCCTCCAGAGTGCGGGCTCTCACCCATTCTCTTTGGGTCTTCTCTACAGGGTCTTTAGGCTCTCAGATATTCTAGTCACTCCTGGACTATTGAATCTTTTGTACCAGTATTTCAACAAACTCCAGTTTCCCCATTACAAAAAGAAAGACAAAACAAAACAGAAAACAAAAGCTTAATACTCTCTTTGGGACCCACATTACCCTTTAGCAGCCATTCACTGTGTTCCCCTTCTCAGCCAAACGTCTTTAAGAAGTTACTTCTGTTTCCTCACATCTCGCTTCTCAAACCATGTCCATCTTCTCAGATCATTGGTGCCTTCTATGCATTAAGCCCGATGTGCAGCCGCTGAATATGCATCACACTCTCGGCCTTGGTGCTATTAATCACTATCCCTTCTCAACTTGTTATTGTCCACAAGCTTTGGGGACATCACCCCTGCCAGTTTCCTTGCTACATATGGGCATTCTCTTGTAATATCCTTTGCCAGATTCCCCTCCTCTAGTTAACCTGAAGATGTCAGAGAACCTCAAGGCATGTTCCTGGGTCATCCATTTCTACAGCTTTATTTACAACCCATAAGCTATAGATGCTCACAGGCTATATACAAGCCAAAAGCCATACAACAAATATTACAGGCTATTGCAACAAATATTTAGACCTCAGATAGATTTTCATTGTTTACCGAGAAAGTCTGTCTTAGATACTTATTATGCTCTCATAATTTTGCAAAACCCCTTGAGGGATAAACAGAGAGAAACGAGTTGCCCCATCCAAAGGTAGCTTTTGGAAGCAGCCTTAAAAAAGAAACAACTTTTAAACAAATCCAAGGGATCTATGTTATAAAACTGTAAACAAGTCTCTACTTAAGAAGTATGTTGGTGTCGGTCAGTAAATAAGAAGATTTATAGTAAAGAGGCACAGAATATGGAGTTTTCTCCAAACTGCACCTCACAATGCGCTGCCAAGACCACTGCCACAAAGGCCTGTCATATTAAACCTGTAAACAAAGCACCAAACAAATGCTCCCCTTCAGTCAGCCCAGGTTCGCTCTGTGTGGAAAACATTCCAGTGAACTGTCAGTGAAGGCTCCTTAATATGTTCTTCAGGACTATTTCAATGCACTTGATTAAATTAAGGCTTGAAGTGATCTTTTAAACATTTATCAATGCATACTTATCTCCAGAGCCCCGTTGGGGGTCATATTTCTCTCCTTGTTAGATACGTAAAGAGGGGTATGACCTCAACTATGGTGAGAAGAGTTACTACATTAAGAACCACAAGCAAGGGTCATAACAAAGAAGAAGTCAAGAAGAACATGCAATAACAGAGCATGGAATCTAACAATTTTCCTTGGTACATTTTGTATGATGAAGTTTAATGGGTTGACTCAACGGTGAATTAGACAGCCATCTGTTGGGGAAAAGAAACCTGTGAATTCTACAATCCTTCATATTATTGCCTCTAGGATAAGGGAACCTATGATAAAAATTAATGTTTTTTCCCCAGAAAATAACTGCACTTTCACCAAAACTATATTCCTCTTAGCTTGGATATTTAGAGAATTAGTTCTCAGGAAAAAAACGTTCTCAACTTGAAATCATTTTTTTTCAGAACATTTTACTCTTCCTTGCCTTCTTTTTGCCACTTTAACTGAAATTAATTTCCTAGTTCATCTGCTGATCTCTTGTCTCCCTTCACTGCAGTGAGGATATGGACCTTACCTAACGTGCCTGCCACCGGAGCCCCAGAACCCACTACAGCAGCCGCTGGCTCCTAATAAACACCAAATAAATAAGTTTTATAAATGAATCAAAAATCATAAAGGCAACAAGTAACACCTGTAAGCATTATTTGGTATATCCTGACCACAATGCTGAGAGCTAATCCCCATTTTATTCTTATTTCAGAGCTTAGCTTGTCTAAAATCAATCTCTGGTTTTCTATTTCTGAATACTATGAGCTACTATCAAGCAGCATGAATAGCTCCTAATTTATTCCAAGTCTTCTATGAAAATTGTACTTAGGCAGGAGTCAATCTAATGGCAGAGTTCTTCCTGCAAAGGCAAAATGAAATGGAAAATATCCTTGTAGACTGGAAATTATCTGAGTAAGGAACAATGCTTCACACTCACGTGATACAATAACCCTCATTCACATGGAATCACACGGCTGCCATCAGCAGCCCGGGCGGACACCATAGCTGCCCACCCAACATCCATTCCCTCTTTCCTGCTGATTGAACCCTAACTAAGTTCAGGGCAGCAATGTGTCTAGCTAAAAATGTTGACTTTGCCAGCCTCTCACATCCAGATGTGGTCATTTGACACCGTCTGGGACAATAAGACCTAAGGGAAAGGCAACATAAGGATGCCAACAAATACTTTTTTTCCCAGTAGAAGGGGAAAGGTTTGGAGAAAACTCTTGCTGCTTTCCTCTTCGACCTTCATGGGACGCAGACCTAAGGGCTCAGGGGGTGACAAGCACGAAGACAAAAGCAGAAGTGTTAAAGAAGGCAGAGGATAAAGGAAAATGGGCCTGGACGCAGGACATGCCAGGGTGGACCTACCACATCAGTGTCTGTCACACAGGACAAATAACCCTCCCTTTGATTAAACCATTGTCAACAGATTTTTGTGTTACTTGCAGCTGAAAAGGCCATACAAGAAAACAGCAATTTTATTTTGTTTTTCCTTTTGTGAAATCAAGTAATTGTTCTAAGACAAAAACTAGAATTGCATGTGAGCATTAGACCTATTTGTCACGTAAAGAAGATGTAAGTTATTAAGGGAAAAATCAATACACTAAAGAGCTTGTACCCATCTCTAGAAAATGAGAAAGGGAACTGGCCTTTATTTCAAAATGGCCCAAACTGGCGACCACCAGTGATGTGAGTGAAAAGGCTTATTGCCCCACTCAGTGTGGGTTAGAGGCTGAGTTCACCACCCTCCTTCTAAGTAGGAAGCAGCCCCCTCTCTGAACTGTTATTTTATTGGGTCTAGAGGTGACCAGGAGCAGAATGACAATGACACCGAAGCAAATGGAGATGCTCTGTTCCGTTACATACATATGTGAGCTCCACATTGATGTGGGCCTGCATCAGGGCATGAGGATCAAGCAGCAGTTTTCCTAGCTAATTACCCACTGCTGAAAAAGTTTTCAGTTCAACCTGATTCATTTAATAAGTGTTTTACAGAGAAGTGACTTTAGCATCAGGTGGTAATATCCACTGGAGGATACACAGAAAAGTAGAACAGATTTAAATCTGATACTGATAACAGACAAGTTAAGATACTTTAACTCTTCTTATTTTCTTAATACTATTCTTTAAATAATAGTTTTTTTGAATAGGCACTGAGAGTTATTTACTCATTTAAAGAGGTACTGAGTGCCTGCTATGTGCCAGACAGGATTTCAGGTGCCAAAGATATGGTAGCAGACCAAACACAAAGACCTGTCCGCCCGGAGCTTAT